TTGCAACCTGTAATCCGCGCCAAGGCCTCTGTGGGAGGCTTGCCCCACCGATTCCGGGAGCTCTGCCGGGGCTCAGGAGGAGTCCTCGAGGCAGGGAACTGAGTGGTAATTCCCTAACCCCTTCTATAAACCCAACTATAACCCCTAGCTGTATATCTTTCTATGGTCTGACTGAGTGTATTGCGTGAATCCTGTACTTTGACCTTTGGTTTGACTTTTAGGGCACAAGTCAGACTAAATAAAGGAGTGTGTGCGCAATGGCAGTTTCAGTTTTATTGATTGCCTGAACGCGGATTGTGATCAAAAGGGGTTGCATCTGGGGGAAGGGTGGGAGTATCGTGGTTTTGCTTGAGGTTGAAAGGATCTTATAGGGTCAGGCAGGTTTCATAAGATTGGATGGCCTGAATGATGTGCTCTACTTTTCGAATTGCATGGAGGGTTGGGCCGCTCTATAAGTTAAGGTGGCCTAACTGCTCTGACTTGCAGGGGTTTGATTGTGTTTGATTTTCAGGAGCTCAGAGCGCTCTATAAGTTTAGGTACCTTGAGTTGCCTTGTTTCTTGTTTTTTTTTAAATTTCCTTGTTTCTGAAGGGGGGGGCCGAGCTGTTCTGTAAGTTCAGGTGGCTCAGTCTCCTCCTGCCTTTATTCTGAGGGAGTAATCTTTGGCAAAGGGTCAGACCCTTCTGTAAGTTTAGGGGGTTTGACTCGATGCCACACACATAATGGCTTAGAGAGAAATGAATTTGACAGAGAATTAGATCCTTCTGTAAGTTTAGGGGGTCTGGCTCAAAGCCTCGCACATGCGGGAACCCAAGGTTATAATTTGGCTATATGTTACTACTATTCTATTAAAAACAGGCTAGTCAGACATGGGTCCCATAAGATTGGATGGTCTAACTATAACTAGAGACTATAATTAAGAATACAATTGACGGTAATTTGGGCCGACTGAGCATTGTTTCTAAGATGAATGGCTCAGTCCTACGCCCAACTTTTGAACACTAAGTTTAGAGAGGTATATATAATTTGGATATTAGACAGTTCAAGGCGACTAAGGTTTATTTCTAGGATGAATGGCTTAGTCATACGCCCAAAGGAAGAGAGAAGTAGTTGTGCAAACTGTTCGTGTATACTCAATGACTGAGTCAGGCATGTTCCATAAGATTGGATGGCCTAACTTTACGCCTTATGTAAACAGCGTATGAAGGGTTAATGCATTGAGAGATCATGAACTATGGTTTGTTCAGGTTGACTTGGGGATGGTGAGGGTGTTTATCTTTGTGGTTTGGCCTGCATATGGTTGAGGGAGGCTACTACTTGGTCTAAGTTTCAGTTTGATAGGTAGTTGCTTTAGTTGCTCGTCATGTGCTAGAGCCATAGGAGTTAGTTTGATTTTCGCATGTTCTGAGCTGAGTCTATTTTTGCTTACTTAATTTCTGCATTTTCTGGGATCTTTTGTTATACTTGGCCTTCTACTTTTTCTACGGGGAGCGCTGCCGAAATTTTTGCAAATCCAAGGAGTCAGTTAAATTTTGACTTTTCAAAGTTCAACTTGTCTAAAGTTCATATATGGCTTAGTAAAAATGTGGAAAGTTCCCTTTTCTAAAGAGAGTGCTGCCCAAATTTTTGCTAATTCAGGGAGTTAGACAAAATTGGACTTTGGAAACTCAAAGACTATTTCTGTTATCATATTCAGACCGATAAATTATGAAAAGACACTTTTCATACGGGAAGCGCTGCCAAAATTTTCTTAGTCTAAAGGAGATAGATTATATTTTGACAGGTGGCGATTCGGGCGATCCATCTTGGGTAGGGGGGATTCTGCCGTTAGCCTACCTTTGCTTTGGACACTAACTTAGAGGCAGGCTTAGACCTAGTTGGCAGATAGCTTGAGTGAGAATGTGCTATGGAGGTTCATCCCCCATATGCTGATGATTTAGGTTGGGCATTGGCCCCGGTGTTACAAACTGATGTATGTTCATATGGGGCGTTGGGCCCGGTTCCCAGCACGTGCTGCTCCCCACGAATAGACTGGAGCTTCTTTCTGTCATTAAAAAAAAAAAAAAAACGCCCTATGAATAGCAGGGGGAGGGCAGGGGTAAAGAGAGAGAGAGAGTTCACTGGTGCCCCCCAGTGCCCCGCTCCAATCCTCGACACGGCTCCAGGATAGGCAGGGAAGTGAGTCTTTTTTATGGTTTTGATATGAGACGCTGAACCCGGTTTCCAGCAAGTATTCTATTTTAAAACATAGAGCTGAATTTTCAGCACATGATTCCTAGTATACAATAGACGCCATGGGGAAGTAGGTGGTGGGCAGGGGCTGGGTGAAGGAGGGAGACTCCACTGGTGCCCCCCGGTGGCCCTCCCCCCAACACCCGGCCGTGCCACAGGTTAGGAAGGGAGATAAAATTTTGATATGGGACGCTGGACCCGGTTTCCAGCACAGTGGTGTCATGTTCAAAATGGAAGATTTGTAAAGATGTATTCAAAGGACGTTGGACCCGGTTTCCAGCAGGTGATGCTCCCCACCAATAGATGGAGCGGCTCCTTTAAAAAAAAAAAAAAAAAAAAAAAAAAAAAAAAAAAAAAAAGGTTGGGCATTGACCTGTTTTATGGTACAGGTTTTTCTTGGACAGTCGATTCAGGTCTTGGACCAGTTTCAGCTTGATCCTACGAGGATCATCTTCTGTTATCACTGATAACATGTCGGTTGATTGATTGCCGACTCATCGGCTCACGACACAACTTTGCTTTTACCTGTACCTAAGTGTGACGCCCTAGCCCTGAGATTGGATATGTCCTTGTGAAGGATCTAACCGATTTCTTTTAAAGGCCATTATAAAAAACTTATGAGATTTATGGGAAATTGGACTATGACTGGGGCTTGAGTGTGTGAGGTGTGGTGTGAGTTACAGGGAACAGTAAAGTTGACCACATTGGTGTATGGCAATGTGACTATTGTGTGTGCCTGTGTTTTATGCAGGTTAGTATTTTGGAGCTTGGTACATGAGTCATACTTTAGAGGCAGTGAGAATGACAACCATGTGTTGCACGATCTGCAAACCTGATGGGTTTATGTTTCCCCGTCCTTTTGGTTGTTATCTCGGGTCTTGACTTGATATATGAGTATTGAGATGCTTATTTATTTATTGGATGATTTTGCTTGTTAATTTTTATAGTTGGACGTTGTAATCCGTGGCAGCCGTCAAAGTCAAACCCCTTGACTTCTGCCCAGGCCTGGAGTGGGGCTCATCTCCAGGGTAGTAAGAGGCGACTGCCACCATAGGTACGGACTTGTGTACCACCCACTCTGCACAGAGTGCAGAAGAGGGTGTGTGGTCTCCAACCGCGCTTGACGGTTGTCCAGCGTCGAGAGATTAACCCTCAAGGCGCATGTCAGCCGACACTTGAGTGTCGAATGCGACCCTCGAGATTAACGAGGGCCGCGCGAGTATGGGTACTACATAGTACGCCATCATTGCGACCGCTTGCGTACGCTTGCATTGTGAAACGATATGAGTTGGCCCTGCGTCTGCGCGGTTTTATACTGAGTCTCGCGCGCGACGCCTATCCGATTTTCGCCAAGGAAAGTTATGGGATGGCTAGTAAGGGACTAGGAGTGTTGTCGCGTTGTTCGATGTGTGCGCGTGTGTGTGTTTTATTTTTTGTGTTCGTAAAATGATGTGCGCGTGGTGTGTGGGATGCATCCTAGTCGACCGATGTCGAGTCGCACTTGGGACTTCAACCCCCCAAGATGTCGGTTCGCGTGCGGGCCCGATAGGCGTACTACCGCGCGTACCCCCTATGCTACAACGAACGAGAAACGCCCTCGCCTGATCCACCTCTGTGATTGCAACCGAGTAGCTTTCGTACTGTGGACTGGTAGCTCGGCGGGGATACGCCCACTGAAGAAAGGTGACAGCTCTCGTAAGGTGGAGGTAAGTCGTGCCTCGCGTAGGCCCTATCCTGTCGTAGGGGCTCGCGAGAGGTATGGCTGGCGTACTCGACCGGAGCGGCTTATGGAAGCTCCATGTATATTTTCGCGGAAGGTGTAGACCAACTCCTGCGTGACGCGGCCGGGAGGGTCGCGCGCTGCTTTGTGCGGTGCCGGACCGATGCGCTCGAGAGCGCTCCCGGTAGCGCTCCGCCGCCATCGATTGCGGCCTCTTTCCCTTTCCAAGCAAGACATCTCCTTTTCTTCTTCAGGGTGGGGTCGGCCTTAGGCCCATTGGATAGAAGATTTCCAGTACTTTACTTGCTGTTGTGCAATTATCTCATTAGGTGAAGCCGTTCTTCAATCACGAAGTATATGGAGGGTGTTAGGATCGGTGCTGACAGAAGTAAAGTATATTCCAGAAACTTTGGCGGTTACTTTGTTCACTGTTGTTGCAACCACCACCATCAGATCACAAATGATCTGATGTCTGGGAACCACTCTACCGTGATTTCCGGTGGGAGGTCTCTATTTTTTTTTTTTTT